AGCTCGGGAATCATAAATGATACATATGTCTTTCGCCACCGAATATCAACTGGGGATTTACTTGCCTACGTCACCCATATATGGCAAGCTTCATTAGAAAAACATGTGGAATCTCTATAGCTGTGGCGTTGGATTTATCAGGATATATCGAAGGCATTCGATCAATGACTACTCCACAAACTATACCCATCATATGGCTTACCACCTCAGCTATGCCATCTTTCATCGAGTTTTCTTTCAGATTGCTTCATGTGATGGTGGACGGAGTATCGTCTGATACCAAATCCATCAATTCTAGTGTTCCACAAGGTCCCTTGTTTGGTACACCGATTGTTCGAAAATGGAAGAAGGGGTAGTATATGGGTGTATATGGACCCAGATATAGGCTATTTGGAACCATAGGTCACACCCCCCCTATCTTCCAAGCTGAAATACATGCCATCAACCTATGCGCCCAAAGGTGCGAGAGCAAAGGTCTGAGAGGTGCCAACATATACAGGGTGTTTCCTAACTACGGTTCCTAACTGCAGGTGGTGATTCATTAGGTCATTTTAGGAAGAAAAGTTCCTATCAATATATGTCCGGAGTTGCTTTGTTTCTGAGATACAGGGCGATAAAATTGAAGAAAAACCGGTTATTATACAAAATATCATGAAAATCCTGAAACCGATTTGGTTGAAATTTGGTACTTTTATTTGAACTAATAAGGCGCATATTTAGCCCTATTTAAATTGGAATTATTGCGGCCAGTAGCTTATCAGTGGGCACCACAGCCAACAATATTGTAAAAAAAAAGTACGCCACTGACTTTTTTTGGTAAATTTCTATTTTTTTTAGATTAAACAATTCAATATACAACTTTTTGGTCTCCTGTATTTTCTTCATATCTAGCTTCGTTTTCGAGAAAAAACATTAAAGCCACTGTATTGCATATCATGAACACCTGCATTGGAGAAATGAGTTTTTCATTATTACAAATAAAAGTACCAAATTTCAACCTAATCGGTTCCAGGATAATCATGATATTTTATAATTATTACAGTTTTTCTTTTCTTCAATTTCAACACCCTATATCTCAGATACGAAGCAACTCCGGACATATGTTCATAGGAACTTTTCTTCTTAAAATGATCTAACGAATCACCTCTTGAAGTTAGGAACCGTAGTTAGGAAACACCCTGTATATCTGCTCAGACAGTCAAGCCGCACTGAAAGCCCTAAAATCATTTTTTGTTTTCACATCAAAGATTACATGGGATGCTTTGAAACACTCATGCAACTGGGAAAGGACAACAAAGTCACACTTATGTGGGTTCCAGGGCATGGAGGAAGGAAATGAGGCAGCTGATCGCATTGCAAAGAAGCAGCATCTGCACTCTTTGGTCCTGAGCCTTTCTGTGGGATAAGCAAATATCACCTAAAGGGAAAACTCAGGAAATGAGGAGAACAGGTCTATCTCACACCTGCTGAGGTGGAAAATTCAACCGTCAGGAAAATTCTAGGCTTCATCAGAGTCTAGGGTTATAGGACCAAAACTAGATAAGGGTAATCGCAATAGATCTTCTAGGTCGCAGTGATCGAGAGGTCTCCCAGCCTATACGACCCATCTACAATCTACAATCCACCAGGATCAATTTTGGCTCCAACATTGTTCCTACTTTATATTAATGATCTGTTTGGAGCTACCACTTGCCCTATCCACAGCTTTGCAGACGATTGTACTCTCCAAACTGCGTTCTTTTCGAGAATCCCATTTCTTTCCAGGAAACCAAGAACTTACGACGACGGCCGGTCAACGCTGTCGATGACGATCTTGCTGAAATGACTGCCTTACGTCACCAAAACTCGAACCTCTAGAAAGGTAGAACTCAGTATGCCTGATATAACAATGTCTGGTACCACCATTCCCTCCAAGACCACTATATCTATGCTCGGTATTTCCATCAGCAATACTCTTTCATGGGAGAATCATGTCCGATCCATCGCAGGAGCTGCTTTGCAAAAACTCGGTTTTTATTCTGTGCGTAAATCTACTTTACACCTCAACAGCTTCTCATTTCATCATTTACAAAGCACAGATACGGCCAGTTTTAGAATACTGTTTCACATATGGGGTTCAGCACCCAAACATGAGCTGATTATCTTAGATTCCATCCAATGAAGAGCCATTCGTCTGGTGGGTGATACCACACTCACTAGTTTTTTGACCTCATTAGAACAACGTAGAAAAATCGGCTACTTTTCACTTCTCTGTTGATATACTTCTACGCAAAATGTTCCTCAGAAATCTCTGCTATCATTTCATCACCAGCAATACCAGTCAGACGGACTCGACAGGCCCAGTCAGCACATCCTTTCGTTGTTAACCTTGAAATATTTCGAACAAAACTCGTTTGTCTATAGAACGGCAAAGTTTTGGAATTCTTTGCCAAAGGAAGTATTCCCAAGAACTTATAACCTGCAAAAATTCAACACCTACCTCCTCTGCCTATCCCCCCTAGGTACGCACAATGTTCTTCAAGCATCATAGGAATTTCCTTTCGTGCGCTCCAAGAGATGAAAAAAAATCTATACATTTTGTGTTTGCCTTGTATGAAATATTGAGAAAGTTTTGGGACTGTGCCATTTGGCAAACCGCCATGAGCTGTTCAGATTTGAAACTGTCATGATAATTTTGGACGTGTGGTGATTGATAATACACTTGATGAGGAGGGATGTTCATCTACTTCTTGAGTGAGTGAATTAGTGATTTTTTATGTCATATCACAGCCAAAAAATTCACATGGTAAATGAGGATCAGACATATTTTTGTTTCATTTTTTCATATAAATTATCGCGGATTTCAATAATTATCTGAAAAATTTAAATACAAAGCACTGATAAGGAAACGGTCTGTGATAGTGGACTAGTTTGGATTAGGACTTCAAAATAATGAAGTGGAATTTTCCAGTGAAACATGCCCATTTTTCCTGTATCAGCTGAGAGATATGCTGCTAAATATTTGAAGGAGACTTATGTAGGCGCATCTCGGATTAAAATTCTTACACGAAATTTCTAAACTCAAATAAAACGTGAACAGTAAAACGAGGACATTTTATAATCCATTCTATAAAAGAATTTGGTTCATTTGGACAAATTGTGGTTGCAAAACAGCCCAACCCAAGACAAGCATTTCCAAATTATTATAGGCATAGATTAAACAAACCTTAATCTATGGTTGAGGTTAGGCCACAACGCATAATCTGAACGAAAATTAAACAATATCTTGTCAGAATCATCAAAATTTCAAATTTCCTCAATAGTTTTAGTCTGGCTCTGTGCACAATTTTGTTCGACTTCTAGAGTTCATTTGTTATGTCAGGTGCCATACCATCTGTTTGGCTGTTGCGGTCCTCTTATCCTTTGAAACATCCACAACGAATCTTTGAAGTAAGCCATATATCAATTTTGAAATTAATTTTATTGTGAAAACATCGCTTTGTCGGCATAGTTCAGCAAGAAGATTCAACAAACTATAATATTTATTCATCATCCAAGGTGATGCTTTGGTTTTAAGTAAACGCACATGCATCAGCAGAAAATAATGATAAAGGCGAGTGTTGACTTGGAATACGCACCAAAACTCTATTGCTTGTTTCAGTCCTGTTTGAACAGTTAATCTGGATAATTTTCTGCCCTTTGTGTTATGTCAAGGTATGAGGTACCTACCTTGATCGACAGCTGATTATATAAGATTCTCCAAATAACATATTTTTCGAGTAAATAGAATAGTAGCCTTGATAGTAGATACAGGGTGCATGGACCGATAAAAAGAAGTCAGGCTGTTTGTCTAAGGAAACACTAAAATACGGTAATTCCAAGGATCCCCAACTGATACATGTCATTCCCCTCTTCTCCATTTTGCTGACCATTTGAATTCGAATAGGGAAATCATTTTGAGCTCCACTTATCATATAGTCTTTTTATGATACTAGGATGCTACTTATTCTCATAGTAAACCTATTCTTACTGTAGAAATTAAGGAATAGTTCTTTTGCAAATTACTCTATAAATATTCAAAGTTTCCTTAACTCAATCAAGTGTGTTTTTTTACTGCTTCACTGTGAATTCATCAACTGTTCTATAATGTTTCCATAAGACGGTACACAGTGAACCAATTGACTGAATTGGCATATATTTTTAAAAATATATTATAATTCACTTTGTTGACTTGAACGATGACTGTGGCTACTGATAAAAAATAAATTGAACCATTTTGGATGGAAAATATATAATTGGCGTTCATTATAAACAAAAGTGGTTCACCTACTTTACGAAAGCACTGTAGGTTGTCAGAGTTCAATTTGGCTTCGCAACCAGTGACCAGTGACCACAACTTAGGCTGTCTTAAAAATTGATGTGGTACAAAAATAGTTATGTATTATACAAGGGAAAAAAGTAGTAGATTTTAGCTCCAGGTGAGCTAAAATCTAATAATATTTTTCCCATGTATAATACACTATTTTTTTCTGTGACAGAAGAAAGGACGAATCAATATTGAGAAGATATTACATCATCTTGAAATATGAAAATTATCGACGTGAAATTTCAAGTTCTTTAACAGTAGGGACACCTGCGTTGTAGGCATCTCTATCATTCCTTTGATGTCATCAAATATCTGATGTCACTACTGTCAGTCAAATTCTGTGATTTGATTTCAAAAAATTGCGAATTTAGTGGTTGTTTAGTAATATACGTAACCGCGAAGTCGAATGGAAGATAAAAGGACTTGCAGTTCTTTCTCGGAGACGGTATATTGACTCATTTTTCGGAACTATAGCACAACAAAAGCCATCAACAGTGTATATATCTATGTGATATATATCCGGGAAAAAAGTACTCATTTTTTTTCCTCGGGAAAAAAGTAATTTATGAAAAGTGACATTTTATAACCTGCGATCAGAGATGAGATGCCAAACTTTTTTCCCGTCACAGAAAAAGTGTTTTTGACTGATACTTACGAGAACAGTAGAACCGAAAGAGGATTGGCCTTATCTCTCGGATTTGGATTGTAGCTCTCCTTGGTTATGTCCATAGCTGCCTAGTTTCTTGTACTCGATTTCTAATCATTTGCGTTGATTCTCCTCTGGTTAACGGCGCAGTGAACTTAGTCACTCGCCTACTTAAAGTCACAGTTTTCTTAGACACAATGCTAGCACTTTGCCACTGTCCTAGGGCTATATAAAAAGATTCTCGCGCCTATTTTAAACTTTAAACCCAGTAGTTCTTCTGTCAGGATTATCTTGGGTCTAAGATGGTCTAAGCTTGAAGGTGGATCGTCTCCGTTTTAAATACCTTGTGTCTTTGATGGTGTAATTTAGGTCTTAGATATTGTAGTTTATAATAAGTGTTATTTATCCTCGGGGTTTAGCTGATTATTTCGTGTCTATAAACAGCACTTAGGAAGAATTTTGGTGCTGTTAACTCCTCTTGCATGTGAAGTTCTCTTCTGAAACAAGAAATAGAATTATAGACTATACGATGTTCTTCCACAAATAACTATCATTCGCCTTTTTTTAATGGATATAATTGCTTGACAAACTTGTTTTTGTGAAATTGCTATATGTTCACAGGTTTCTCAGGTAATTTCAAGGAAAAATAAATTATTGAAAAGGAATATCCTTAGATATATTGTGAATATGGAAAAATGGATATACAGGCAATACAGGGTGTTCCTTTGAAAACGAAACAGAGGCTCTGTAGGTCGCCAAAACCGGATTATGAGAAAACTCTGAAACGTCAACTACATTTTCGAGGGAGACATCGTTCTAGAATATTTTCAGACCTGCAGCGTTGCCGCTTCTAACAAAAGGAAGCATAACGACAGGAATTATTTCTGTTAAACATCCAAAACGAGAACTTGAAGATAAAAATCTTCTGAAATTGAGAATTGACATTCTCTTTGAATATTCAGAATGATATGGATGATGGAGAATGCAAATACTCAACTTCATCAGAAGATTTTATTTTCAGATTCTTATTGTGTGGCTTCAATTGATATAATTCAATGTTTTGCCGTGGCATATAGTCAGGAAAGTAGTTCTTTTCTGTTGAATAGTGTTTCTTTATATATATCCATCTCTTCATATTCATAATATATCTGAGCATATTACTTTTCAATACTTCCATAAATCAAGGGGTTCAAACTTGAACGATGGGATCTTATTTCTGAAGACTTCTAATCGCAGATTCGTGATTGGATTTTCACTAATCGGAATTTTTTTCCACGCCGTGTATGATGAATATCATTTCATCATACATCAAAACAAAAAAGGTTGAAGAGAAATCCCATATATATTATAGAGATGTGTCGAAACATTGTTTCATATCATGCATATTCGATTTTTATTTCTGTAGGCGTTTCCATTATTCTGGTCAAATATTTTCATTAGGAATGAGAAAATAACGACTTGAAAAAAATTATCGTTATCACCACTTCCACCAGAACATGAGTTCTGTATTGTAAAGCACAATTTTTGATCGGATGGATTCTTTATTGTAGAGATACAGGGCATTGAAAATAAAATAGTTTTGCTTTGATATCGATGTACACTATCGAAATCAAATCACTGATGGCGAAGGACACACTGATTCGAAATTTTGAATTTTTAAAAACAAAATCGACCTGCCGGAAATTTTTTTCCAAAAGTGTACCTCATATAGGAATTCTAATTACTGAATATTGATACCTACCTGTCTACCAACCTTGTTTTTTTTTTTTCATTTAGACATAACATGAATTACAGTGAGTGAACAGATAAGTATTCAAGCAAATAATAATGAAGGTTGCATGCATTCAGAATAAATAATTATCCATTTGTCATGTATTTAAATATAATTGGGTTTAAGAACATTTCCTAGAATATTATTCAGAAAATGTATATGTAAAGTGATTCATTGAGAATTAGAAAAATGGGAAAAGTGAAGCAAAAATTGGTATACTTTTCAACTCTCACTACCTGATACTCAAAAAGCTGGTTTATTCAGAAATGTTTGATAAATTTGAAGAAGACATTTTTTTTAAATTTGCCTTTGTTCAAAATTAATTTGGACAACCTTGTATGTACAGGGTGGGTCAAATTGGACACTATTGAAGGGAGATATTTATCTTCGTTTCAGAGTTACGAGGTGTTTTTCGAAAATAGGAATTTTCGAAAAGTGGCTGAAACTCAATTTTAGTAAAAAATTCTTCGTATCAATTAAATCATTTTCAATGCATTGTGTTTGTCATGGAAATTGATCCTCAGGCACTGAAATCAGTCACCATATACCTAGTTTCAAAATAGAGCGTTATATACAGTGTGGACCATTTAGGACCGGAGCACCCTCATAAAATCTATAGTTTTTGACCGATTTCTTTTTTTTTTTTCGTTTCAGCAGAAGGACTATCTGGAGATCTACGTTTACACAAATTACACAACATCAATTCTGATGGCTCACCATTTTTTATGAATATTTCAGACAAATTCTGAGAAGCGGCAACATTGTCAACATAAATGTTGGAAATCATCGAGGTTTCTGGTATACATTCGAATTGATAACACAAATTATTATTGAGTTATAATCTCTAGAATGGTACCCTTTTGGAATGAAGTTATGAAGTCGGAAAAACAGCTTTTCATAATAAGTTAATTATCAATGTAAACCAACAATGAACAGCCCTTGATGTTTTTGGCTTCTGATATTATCTTACTATACAGACTATCCGATTTTCTTACTCTAATTATTTGGATGAACAAGGCCGATTTTTCGACGTTATGGATTTTTCATTTTATCCATTTTAGATGTTATAACTCGATGATAATTTGTGTAATTAATTCAAATGTATACCAGAAACCTATTGATGATTTCCAACATTTGTGTTGACAATGTTGCCGCCTCTCAGAATTCGTCTGAAATATTCATAAAAAATTGTGAGCAATCACAATTAATGTTGTGATAACTTTGTTGCCAACTGATATTTTTCAATGAAATTTTGCGCTCAACCTAAATGAAGGATGCTGAATTCAGTGGTGGGATCGATTTTGTTTGAAAAAAATCGCTAATGATATTTCGCAATTTTTAAGATGAAAAAAAGAACATAGTATGCCCTGTACATCGGAATTTTATTTTGCAAATTTGTGTAAACGTAGATCTCCGGATAGTCCTTCTGCTGAAACAAAAAGAAAGAAATTTGTTAAAAACTATAGATTCCATGAGGGTATTTGTAGCCACTTTTTAAAAATGCCCATTTTCGAAGAAACGAAACGAAGACATCAGATATCGATATGCGGTTTCTACCATTGAGTTGCATGAGAATAATAATAATAATAATAATGATAAAGGTCTGTATTAACCACGATTCGACAAATATTAATGAATAATATAAAAGATAGGACTGTTCTTCCACCTAACCCAGCAAACAGATGGACATCTACGAGAAACAATAAGGAAATTTAGGAGAAAAGAAAAAAAACACTTTGTATGTAATCATTGGTAAAAGACTTCACATATTCAAAACTATAGCAACTATTGACGACTTAGTTACCATTCGAGTAATCTGGATCTGAATGCACTAGCAGTTGAGTACTTAATTCTTGATGGTAGTTCATTATAAATTTTGGTAATACTGTAGCTATATGAGTGTTGAAAGTGAGTACTTCTATGTAGGGGTACTGTTAGGCCCTCCGCACACGGGCCGATCGGCGACATGGACGACGCGATTGCAATGACGTCACAATTTCTGCATTCGTACGATTCAAGAGACGGGAGTGTGTGTCATCCGCATATGGGTCGACGTTTTGTGTAGTCGACTCGCGTCTGATTAACTTAGTTACTCTATTTTTTGCTACTTCAAAAAGAAATGTTTCGCTAAAAATGAGCAGTTCCAATGGCGAGGAGGACATATTCATGTTTTTGTGGCACCGGCAGATCAGGAGAAGAAGAAGACAACGAAGTTTATGGGTGCATCCGTACATTGCACGAAATTTTCACACTCGACTTTTTATTACTGCAAGTGAAATGCAAGAGAGTGACACAAAATTTCTGGCATTTTATAAAATGTCGAAGGAATCATATATTGATTTAGTGGAAACTCTTGCTCCAGCCATAAATTATATGGATTCAAATATGAGGGAATGTGTCAGCGCAGAAGAACACATACTAATAACAATGATGCAAGATTCATATATTTCAAAAAATCAAACAGTTCCTAAAGCTCAGGGTATAAATTGGAAACATAAGATTATATGTTCTAGTTACTGAAAGTAAAGAACTAAGGTAGGTAACACAAATATTCACAATGATTGAAAAATTATTGAACAACTTTCTCCATTGAGACGCAAGATTCACTCGATCAAACTGCTTCCATGCTAATCGCGTGAGACTGAAAACGAGGAGATCTTAAATCGTACGTTTCTAGACGACCACTAAACGACCCGTGTGCGGGATCCAGATGCTTTGCTTAGGAAGTCGAGTAGAGGGGAGACCGTCGTACGATTCGAATCGCGTCGCTCATGTCGCCGATCGACCCGTGTGCGGAGGGCCTTACGGTTCCTTTAGACCTGATATTGAGGTTATGAACATCTGTAGGGAATTTTTCGAATAAATATGCAGAGTGCATATATCTTCTGTTTTTCATTTTCAGCTATTTTATGAGTTTGAATAGGTGACTAATGTGACCATACTTTCGTACCCCGAAGATCATCCTGATACACGAATTCTGAAGCTTTTGGATTCGACTTTCGTCTTTTGTGCTGAGAGAGCGATCGTATAAGACATCACAGGTCTCGTCTCTGGTAAATTAGCTTGAGTGCTGCGAAGCTTTTCGAAAATGTAACTGTTGGTAAGTTATCCATCATACTTTTTTCCAAATAGTATTGCAACTGATTTGTGTGTAATAAATGAGAGGCAATGATTTCTGGATTGCTCATATAATTTATTCAAATCAAAATTGAGTGCAGATATCACTTGTTCAGTTTCGTCGGGATAAATAGAGATGTAGACTTGCGTGTCATCTGCATAAAAATGACAGGAGAATGACAATGAATGGACCTT